CGCCCCGTAAAATGAAATGTGTCGTATAAACTTTAACACCTTATTTCATACTCTGAGGGTTTAAATTTTTCAAAATCCTATCTTAGTGAATGCCTATGTAATGGCGAATAAAAGGAAGCTATGTTGTCATCATTTCCTAGTTCTACGTTCTGCGGCTTGAGCTGTTGTCATATCAATATTTTTCATATACAACTTGCACCCTCGTTTTAAAGCCGATTAGATTTTGAAAAAATAAAGAATATTAATTTTCTTATTTAAAATTCAAGAGAATTATATGCACCTATTTTCTAATTTAAAAAATTTATTAATTTTTCTCCATATAAATTAAAGAATCTTATAGCCCTCCGTAAGAGGTTATTTTGAAACATCTCAGAGTACTTTCAGTATGTCAGGAAAATCCGCTGTCACTACACAGTAACGCCTCTTTTACTAGGGGCACAGAATAAATTAATAATAGTACCAGTCCCTCTGTAATGAATTATTTTTAAAATCGCTAAATCCGTATCCATTAATTTCCCTTTTTATAGAACAAAGGTGACATACGAGCACACAGTTCACCTGATGGTAAGTGGATGCTGTGGTCCATAGACTTCTATATTTATCCTCAATTAAGAATCAAAATGCAAATGCGTTGTCACCCCTGACAACTTAGATGGAATGCCTCGTTTATAGAAAAGAATGTCTTCGGTTCTCTACACTCATCATACGAAACACAGCAACATTACGCTGCTATTACCATTGAAGTAATATGTACTTACGTACTAGAACAGATATCTCAAACAAAACATGTGCGCTACTCTGTGTTCGCGCGGTTGTTTTTTTATCATAGAATAAACATAGGTAGAACGATCCGTAGGTAATATTAGATTGTATTGTTAAATAGGTAAATTATATCGAGAACAATATTTAAATTTTGTCATTTATTTTGTATATTATATTTGCTTATTTAATATAATATTACATGATATTATATCACAATTACATTTTAATGATATTTTCATCTGAATATTTTAAAAGGTATCAAGTCAAATATAACAAAACATACTAAATGTATGTTTAATAAAACTTATTAACACAACGTTTAAATTATAAATATATTTATTTAAATTAGAATAAAAGTCGTTCATAAATGCTGGGAACACGAGAGTTAAAAATGGACGAATTTATTCAACTTTGACTTTGATGTGGAAACCTAAAAATAAAATAAAAGAATAATAAGCAGATTTAAATATGAAAAATTCAGCCTAATTATAATAACTTATATATGTTTCTACAAAGAAAGTGTATAATAATATATTCGTCCTATACTTCTTAAGTACCCGCAGAAATGTCGCATCTAAACATTTTATTATCTATATTCCATGGCACGAGATGGCGTCTTAGGAATAATTTGTTTAATTATTAATACATTAAACTTTTTTATTGATTAAGTATCTTATTAACCGATGAAAAGTAATTCCTTGGTTTTTACTGACATTTCTTGAATTATTTGTGCAATATCTAAGTACACACGACGGTATATTTTTATCAAGAGATTTTTTTTAAATCAACGCAACACGTGACAACTCTACAAGCACCTAGCGAGTGACTGATTAAAGTGCGGTGTATGCACCGCAGTTTAGTGGAACACAGTAGCTGAATGCAGTGTCGCCTCTAGTACGTAGTACATAATAGCTCAATGTATTTTACGCTGGTTTTCTGTGAGAGCGTGGTCCTACCCCGGTCGACCGAACCCATTCGTGCTACATATACCATATCATATATCGTAATACATATAGATACAGCGTGACTCTAACACGTAATATACAGATTACGTACCTTTAGTAAGTTTCAAGTCAATCGCCTCGTAAAATAATAAGCTTCATACAAACTGTATCACTCTATTTCATCCCCTTAGAGGTTGAATTTTTCTTGATAATTTATTGGTGGATGCCTACGTTATAAAAGGCAGCTACTATCCTATTTTCAGATTTCTGCGTATAGCGGTTTAGGCAGTGTATGTATATATATATATATATATATATATATATATATATATATATATATATATATATATATATATATATATATATATATCTGCTGCGTTACACATACTACATAGTAGTTTTGCACGTTTAAAACATTTCATTTAGTTCAAATAGGGCCCCAATTTCATTTTTGCCCCGGGGCCCTTGGTTGCATAGCTACGCCACTGGAAAAGGGTCTCCGGTTCTCTACAATATCCTACAGTAATACATACAAGTCGGGACGACCCATTTGTGCAACGACAACCTAAAAGTTTCAAAGTGGTTGAAACGTTCAAGTAAAGTCGATAAATTTCATTTAAAGTGCAGCATTACGTAAATTTACGTTATATTTTTAAGTAATAATTGGATAAAAACAATTAGAATGTAAGCACTATTTTAAATTACTATCTTAGAATTTAGCAAAAGTGTAAGTGTAACATTTGTTGGTGAACGAAATAAATAATGCGGAAAACGTTGGTGACGTAACTCGTTTATTCGGCAAAGCTTTTTAAAAACTCCATGATACACTACAATTAATCAGTGCCGTATTACCCTCTATAAGTATGTTACGAACGAAATAAATTACTAATATTTCAAGAAATGAAATGCGGGGAACCTGCCAAGTATCAGGCACGACCGGCGAGGTACTTTGCTATGCCAAGTGAAACACTATAACCTGATGTTTGCGGAAAATGTTGGTGACGTAACTTAAATATTTGGCAAAGCTTTTAAACGACTCCATTATACAAATCATAACGGTAATGCCTATGAACGTATATTAATGAGCCAAATAAATTACTAGAACTTCAAGAAATGAAACGCGGGGAACCTGGCATCTGGCACGACCAGCAAGGTACTTTGCTGCCAAGTGAAGCACTATAACCTGATGTTTGCGGAAAATGTTTGTGACGTAGCTCAAATATTTGGCAAAGCTTTTGTAAAACTTCATAATACACTACAATGAATCATAGCCGTAATGCCTCTGTGTATACATCATTAGCCAAATACTCTACTAAAATTTCATATAATGAAATGCGGGGAACCTGCCAAGTATCAGGCACGCTCGGAGGGATACTTTGCTACGCCAAGTGAAACATTATAACGTAATATATTTGTCCTCATTCTAGCACAAATAAATGCAATAAAACCCCTACTTAGATTTACTATCTAGGATAATGGTACAGTTAATAGCTGACCGGATGCTGTGACCGCAATAATTTCGAGTATAAATTTGAGAATTGAATAGTTATCCTCTAATATTTATTCGTTTTCAGAAATGTGCACTATTATAATATTTGTAGCAATTTATCAAGCAATGTTTTCAAAGTGACAATTAGTTATTACGTGATTTATGTGCGTAAATGTCTCGCTAAATCTTTCTATCATTTCCCCTAGTCTGAATTCAAAAATGCTCAGAATAGTCTAGGAGCGGTGGGAGCTAAAGGTACAGGACCTCCGATTCTACAATCGCCAATCCAGCTACTCCCTACTGATGAACAGCAGAGGACTTAAAGGAGAGTCTGAAAGATATAAGGCTTTATAAATTAGTAATAAATATGAATCATCATCATCATCATCATTACAACCCATCACAAGTCCAATGCTGAACATAGAAATGTCACAATACACGGTCCTGAGCCACCAGCATCCATCGACTTCTTCCATCTCATACCAGATCGTCACTCCATGTAATTGGGGCTGCCCTACACTTCGCCTACCACTAAAATGCTGCCACTCGAAAACTACTCCCCTTCGGTAAATAAGATACGTGCCAAAATCATAAATCTAACTTCACATTCGCGTAGTAGCCGCCGATGCGAACGGAACAAATAATAAATTGATATTTATCTCAGTTTCAGCCCGTCGCCCGTAGACTACGAAGACTAGATGATATAGGACTGCACTTTAACGATAAATCATACAAAAATTTCGACATTTACGAGGAAAATTATATCGCCTCTTATATAGGCAATAACTTCGGCTTTCCTTTTTATAAAAAAGTTTTTATAATCGATGACGCACGGTAAGTACCTGGGCGACCGAGACTCACTCGACGTTAGAAAAAAATTTACATTTTTCTCACAGATCTAATACATAAACTTAGAAAGTGTCTGAATACAAAATTTCATATGATGCCGAAAAAATTGTCCTATTATAAAGTTAGACTACCTATATCTGCGACTTCAGAGAATAAAGTATAGATGTACTAAAGTATCAAATCATTATTATTTTAATTAGTTCAGCCGTTTCCGAGAAACCGGTCAGCATAACAAAAACATGGCTTCGAATATCGTTTTTTTAAATTAGAACAAAAATTTAACAAAAAGAAATAAAATACTCAAAATTATACTGGTTTTCATATATTAATCTCCTTTTATCCTGAAAATACATGTGCATATTATATTAAATACATCATTTAGGACTTTTACACACGAGAAAATTAACAAGTAACACAAATTATGCGTATTCTATGCTACGCGTCATAAATTTCTAAACAATGTTACTAGGTTTGCAGATATTTATATCTGGTAGAGCTACGCTGCAGCTATATTATGGTTGTAGTATGAATGGGTCGGCTCGACCGTGGCAGGACTACGCTTTCACAAAATACCAGCGGAAATAGCAGCTTATGGCTGCTGATTTGTAGTGTGCGTTGAGAAACGGAAACCGTTTTTACTGGAGACGAGACATTCCATCTTAAGTTTTGATACTTAATCAAGGATAGATGTAGATGTCTATGGTTCACAACATCCACTTAATATCAGGTGTACTGTGTGTTCGTTAGTCACCCCAGTTCTATAAAAATGTCTATTTTAGGAGTTAATATAAAATAATAAAGATTTTCTATTCCACCTAGAAAATGGAAATCATCTTAATAGAAAGATCTAGAATAGACTTTTTTATTTGGGTATTGTCCTCTCGAAAACTTATCTGTAGCATATCAGTAGGAATAAAGGGCATAAGTACAGATCGTTTTAGTATGCATGTACTCACGTTCTCCTCGACCGTCTTCTTAATCTTAGCACCAGCCTCGCTGACCTTCGCGCCGGCTTTGTTCACAGCAGAGTAGAGGAAGTTGCCAAGCGACTTGGCACCAGCAACGGCCTTGGTCGTCACTGCCAAATTACGAAAAATATTATAAACAAGGCGCATTGAGTAAAGTGGATAACGTTCGCTACCAGCATCGATTTTCAAACTTTATTCGTAATAAAAAATTACTAAAATCATTTCAAGAAAAACAATAATTATGTCCTCCAGACCGAATTTCGGTCACAGCGGTCAGTAGACTATGTAGACTAGCCTGCACAGAACAGGATTACAGTGCCAGAGTATGTGTCAAAAACAGGTGCAGACTCTACTCCCTCACTCACATAGTCCGATCGGACAGCAAGCCGACACGACCGGAGAGAGATTAGGCGCAGCAACAACGGCTTTTTGTTCTTTCCGAGGCACGGGGTGAAACATCGCCAACTTCCTGACTGAGCTGCTACTCAGCATTTCTTGACAGAAAAATCCAATAATTGATTTTGGCCGATTCGAATGCGGGACGGGGGGAGGGTACGACCACGAGATTCAGGCAGTCACAAATATAATAAAACACTGGTATATAAATATAATGTTTTTTCTTTTAATAATAAAAGAATATTAACAATGCTATAAACATTACTAATATTCCCCTTAACCACTCGTGGTAAGCTTAAATTGCGTGTGTTACGACTGGTTCACGCCAGTAGTCGAATGGCGGATTCGAACCCACGACCTTTTTGAGTTCGCGGTCCGCGCCCTGCCATTAGACTACTGTCGTTTCCATTAGGCTACTGTCGCTTCAATAAACAAATACTGGAGATGCTCGCGTCCATAAACTCAGATAATTACCATTTACCATCTTCATCAACTCTTTTAAGTCTGAGACTCGAAGCTGATTGATATCCTCGCTTCTGCCATTCTACGGCCGTCACCAAGTTGTGGGATTCAGGGCGATATTCAGAAAGAATCTCGAAATTAAACTAAAACTCCAAAATTTTAAATTTTTTGTCTAGACCATTTTATATTACATAGATTTTAATATAGCGAAGTTTAAGTTTAAACTCGAGATTTTCTGAATACCGACCTTATAATCGACTTTTTAAGTATTATTTTTCATCATCACTCGGTAGTTAGAATCTCTGTCAATCAGTAGTTATTTATTAATCAAAAATCTTATTGTCAAATAGATTAAGCAAATTCCCAATTAAATAAACATAATACCCTAATTACAACCCGAGTCTAAGGACTAATTACATTTTAAAAATGCTTTACAAAGACCCCGCACAGCTGTCACCCGCCCACCAAATGTTTTAATTAAAGCATAACAACAATTAATGTCCCGTACATTAATTGTTGTTATGCTTTAATTAAGGAATAGGAATATATAATAGGAATAATATAAATAAATGAAATTGAAATATCTGTTTGTAATGTCAAAATAACAGCTTCTTACTGAATGCGTATGAAAGTATATACGGTACTTATGACAAATACAATTTTGAACATTTTGTCTGTCTGTTTCAGCTAATCTGAAAATTCTGCACCGATTTTGACGGGATATTCGCTGACAGATGACTGATGTTATAAGGGGTAACTAAGCTACTTTTATGTTAGAATAATAATTACGACTACGCGCAAAAACAACACAAAATCCAATCGTAATATATTCCACGCGGACGAAGTCGTGGGAAACAGCTAGATCAATTATGAAATGAATAAACTCTGAACAAAACTGATAAGAATATTATCCTAATTTGAAAGATGAAAATAATGGCCCCGGGGAGAGCACTCATTATTGTAAAGAATTGTACGTTGCTTTAATACGTAAATCCCTTTCATCTTCTACATGAGCCTGTAACGATTCGCCATTGAATTTGTTTCTTTTGTCATATTTTTCCGACACACCCCTAAATCAAGTTTTCCCGACCCCCATGATCGATATGAGACGACAGACTTTCGTAGCTAAGTTCACCGTACTCAGCTAACTACCAAAAATGACCTTTCTGGAAATTGCGGTAACAAAAGCGATTTATTAATAGAAAGTCTACAAAGGAAATAAATTCAAGATTAAACGAAGCAATTAGAACGAAATTGTAAAATTTTTTGTACCTCTTGAGAAATTACCTTTGGATTTCGTAATTAAATCTTTACAAAAAAAAATTGTAGCATTTCTTTGGGGGATGCATAAGTTCAGCAAGAGACTTATGAAAGTCTGTAATAATGATGATGATGACGATGACTTATAAAAAATTCAGCCCAGAAATTATTAGGAGTATAATTTTATCTTACCTGTGGGGAAGTTTTAATTTCTATTAAAATGTACTTATGTTTTAGAAACTCTTAAAGCAAGGTACTAAATAATATATTATGTAAATATGTACCCGTATCACTAAGGATGATAACGTGATGCGACGTCCAAACCAAAACGCTACTAACTAATTACGTGTGGTTTCGCTCATAACGTCTTAAAAATATATAAAGCTTTATTTAGGAAATGCCAACAGATTAACCACTTCATTCATTTATAGGCACGATCTTACGGCCTTTTCCGGTGTTTTTAATATTGGAGATAATTTCTATAGCTCTCTCATTGCTCTCTATGCTCTATGCTATCTACTCTCTGATCCATTCCCTTACAATCTTACAAGACAGTATGAAAGCCTTTTGACTGGTAGAGAATGGCTCAAGGCATTAAGTCCGCCTTTTGTATTCTTTTGCGGATTAGGAATGCGATAAATAATAAATAAATAAAAATTTAAAGGCAGTAATATCAAAACCTTTCTATTAGACTTTAAAAAACAAATGAGTTCCCCATTATTCTATTAGTCGCACTTGGTGAGCGGTTCTATAAGACACGATAGCGTTACACTGGTCATGCTGCTTCTCATACTATTAACATCATTAATTATAGCGTACCAAAATATGTACTGTGTTTTTTGTACAATTTTCCGAAGGGTATGTATGTGTTCATTACGCAGAGAAAACTCTCTGCGTGATGAACTTAGAAATGAGGATATCCTTAGTATAACCAGAGTGACAGACATAACCCAACGGATTAATAAGCTGAAGTGGCAATGCGCCGGCCATATAGCTCAAAGAACCAACAAGCGATGGGGAAAAAAGGTTCTCGATTGGCAGCCTCGTACTGGCAGGCAAAACGTAGGGCGACCCCTCACTAGATGGAGCAACGACCTGGTAAGACACGCAGGAAGTCGATGGATGCAGGTGGCTCAGGAGCGTGCTTTGAGGCATTACTTGGGGGAGGCTTATGTTCAGCAGTAGACTTGTGATGGGCTGTAATGATGGTAATAATGATGTATGTGTTCTATGATACTAAAGCCTTTTCGGAAACCGGCTTATTCGGGAAGTTGGAAGCCGTCGAATCTGCGTGCGAGATATCATCGGAATAGTAACGAATAAGACTTGAGACAGTTTTTGGGTTCTTCTGCGACGGGGCTTGCAGAATTTAGCTCTGACCGAATGGGGATTATATTTTTACGAGCTTGTCATTCATAACGTCTACTGTATTGTAGTCTTCTAGGCACTCACACACACACACACCCTCATAGAGGGGAATATCAGCCATAGCTGCCGCGCAAGCGGGTTGGCAACCACAGTTTTTATTTTCATTCAGCTGTTATAAGGAAGATGCTGCTACTCGTCTCCTTTTTAAATTTTTTCTTTGTAACACCGCCACTTCACGATAGAACCAATTTATATTTGGCAAATTTTAAGCTCTCAGTCGGATTCATAAAAAATGTCGATCGTCAAGGTCTGATCTGTCAGTCAAATAGTACACCACTTGCAAGTAAAATCGACGAAGTCATACTCTTAACATCCCTAAAGCAGATTAATCCAAGTGATTTAAACTTATATTAATTTGCAAGCATACTCAAAGCACACAAAGAAAAATTTAAAAAAAAGAAAATAGTAAAAGAAAATAAAAAATACTAACGCTCTTGCATATCTGGCACTTCAATTGCATCAACCGAGAAAAACTTTTTACTTTCGGGACCTGGAACTGTGCACCAAAAAACATAAATAGCGACTACAAATAATTTAAAAATAAAATCAAAACATAGCTAAAAATCTCTAGATGGATTGAATTACGTAACTCAAGGTAACCCCTGCTACCCATGTCAACATATCTTTTTTTATAAATTGAAAATTGTGAATCTGTGGTAAATATTACTGTATTTCTTACATTTCTTGTAATCAACTCGACTAAAGTTATGATTAACTAATAAGTAATTTTACAAAAAAGGAATAATAGGCGGCTAAGAGTAGTGCCTTGCGGTACTATAGTTACGAATACGACTTACTTGTAATCCTGCAATACAGGCTTTTACTAAGTAGTATACAGTTAGCAGAATATACATTAATTCTACTTTGTAAGAGTATTGCTTCTACAGGAAAAGTTAGCAGTCTCGTAAACTGAATGCACTTAGGGTGGGGGGGTCTTTTTGTATGTTGTGGTTTATTTTGGTAGTTTTTTTATATTAGAGGTGTCTTGTTTTTATACATCAACTTCAGAAACCATATTATATATGTATATTTTGTCAAGCTGACACTACTAAATTTAATTTCATCAAAAGCTTTTGATACAGATAGTAAAAAAATTTACGAAATACGAGTCTAAGTTCAAGCGTCTAGACTAAATTCTAAGTTGAATACAAATCACACCACATACCATTCCCGACTCCACCTGGCTGCTCCTCCGTGGGAGTGCCGCCTGTAGATGCAGGCCTGCTGTCCGCCCCACCAGTAGCGCTGCATCAGAGTTACCAACGTTGTGACAAATATACATTAGCATTTTTTATAGAATAAGGATAACAAATGAGCACACACTCCACCTGATGGTAAGTGGATGCCGTGGCGCATAGGCATCTACATTTATCCACGATCAAGAATCAAAATGTTGACGCGTTGTCATCTCTGAGTTCTCTACACTCACTATACAAAACACAGCAGCATAAAGCTGCTCTTTTACGCTGGTAATCTGCGAAAACATGGTTTGGTATATTACCGTATTAGCACACCGGTTTATATACTCCAATAGGATGTTCAACACATATTCAAGTTAGAATTTATTTATTAAACTCCTATTGTATAATATAACCAAACGGTAAGTAGATGCTGTGGCACATGACTTTTTCTTCGTCATCAGCCGTTAAGCCCCGTTAAAACATCGCTGGGTATTGATCTCTCCCATTTTAAAGAAGATTTGCCTTAAGCGTCACGTCTGACAAAAATTTTTGACAACCGCAATACCAGACATTTGGCAACTTTTACTCTGCAGCCTGACGTTAACTATATGATTATACGGACATTTAACGAGCCATAAGATTTTCTTGGCATGTTCCATAGTCACTTCTCTCGACATCCATAGAACGAACCGAGGTCATGAATTCTCTTACAATGCCACCACACCATCGATACACACCAACAAGATGTCGGTGTGTATAGGTATAGGATAAATATCCTCGATTTCGAATGAAAATTCGAATACACGGTCACCGCTGAGGAATATAACGGATATGCCCAGTCTATCCCAAGGTCTACAGCACTCGTCTTTCACTATATGAAACACATCAGCATTTCGCTATTTTATATTAATCTTACGAAATGAAAATGGATCTTATAACGCCTTATTATACCCGAGTTGTACAAGAAAATAGAGAACAATACGTGTTGTTCTCACAACTACTACTACGCGTTAACATTCACCTCGTTATTCTTACGGATGAGTGCGTTTAACACTCGCTCCACGTGACATTTTCGTGTCCAACTTTAGAATAAAATAGGAGAATAGTTCAGAAACGGACGAAATGTGGGCACAGAAATTTCATATTCCAAACCCAAAAAGGTTTGGAATATGAAATTTTTGTACGAATGTAAATGGGTTACCACAAACGCCTGATTCTGTAAATTATCATCCAATAATGACTTTGGCTATATACGAACTAATAGTATACTAATGTGTATATATTTTAATAGAATATGTGTGACAAGCGAGCACACAGTCCACCTCATGGTAAATATTTGCTGTTTTTTTTATTCCTGAGAAAGTTATATTTTATATATAATATAATATAAAATTTAACAGTCTTGAAATTTTAACTAAAGATTTTTAACGTCCCGCTAAGAAAATAGAAAAATTTCAAAAATAGGAAAGTTATTGGTTTCACCCCGATTTTCGAAAATCGAGTTTTCATCAGATCTCGACGTTTTGAGATCCCAGAAAGCTATTCTGACTAATTTCACGTAGACGTCCGTACGGATGTATGTATATGTGTGGGTGTGTGTGTATGTAAGTATGTAAGCCTCTCATAACTTTTGAACGTCTTGATCGATTGAAATGCGGTTTGCAGCGTTTTAAAGATCTTAATGTGGAATAGATTTGGTGATAATATGAACTGATTCGGATTTTGAGATTCCCAAAAATTAAAGTTTTAAAAAACTGTTTTTTTGGAATAACTTTTAAACGGCTTTACTGATCGACTCCAAAAACTTTTCAGAAAAACTAATCAGCTTTTAACCTGAAAAAATAACGTCTAATGCCGTTTGGAAAATAAAAATCGGTTCATTCGTTCGTGAGATATCGAAGCAGAAAGAAATTGAAAAAAGTTTTTTTTAACATAACTTCGAGATTTCGCAACATATTTTGGTGAAATTTGGAGTGCTTTGCATTTGAAATTAGCGGCAAGTCTCAGGGATGGCCTGCTGGGTCAACTAATTTTTTTTTAAATGTAAAGCCCTAAGTGACAAAAGAACGTACAGTCCACCTGATGGTGGTACCGTGGCTACCGCAGTCCATGGACACTAGAAACAATAAAAGCTACTGATAAATTACCTATCACTATCTCTTTGAAGCCTAAAATGCAATTCCTCACAACCTGTAGTTGTACTGGCTGCTTATAATACTAATATTTACTGTCCTCCAGACCGAATTTCGGTGCAGGGCAGGATTATAGTGTCCAAGTGCATTCGCAAGCACATGTGCACTCTCTAATCCCTCACTCTCATAGTCCAATAGGACGGTAATCCGACACGACTGAAGAAATCAGGCGCAGGACCTACGGCTTTACGTGCTTTCCCGACTTCAAGCTTCTACTGGCAGTTTCTTGACAGAAAACCCCAATACACTGATTTTGGCCTGACCGAGGCTTCAAACTCATGAACAGCAACCGCGTTTACAACCACAAAAGCAACGAGGCACTCAAATGACTCCCTGATATCTTTCAGACCGAAACACAGAAACACTTTAAATCACGCTGAACATCCAAAATTGTTCAAATATTTTTATAGCCGAAAACAAAAGGTTATAGAGAATCACAGATAATGTAAACACATTAATATCGGAACAATGCGAAATGCGCCACATATCCAAAAGTAGAATAATTCGGACAATGTATTGATTCACTACGAAAATATGAGACGGGGTTTCATAAATATAATGAAATTGCCACTGCATTGCGGACCTAACGATAGATTACAATTTGAGTAGTTTTTAATTTTTTCCAATCTGAGGATACCTGCGAAGATTCTTAATGATACTTGGAAAGCTTCTTAATGATACCCGCGAAGTTTCTTAATGATACCTGCGAAATTTTTTAATGGTACCTGCGGAGTTTTTAATGGTACCTGCGGAGTTTTTTTTCCGGTCAGAGGAACTTCATTTCGAATTGGTAGTAGATTAAATAGATTTAAATATACATTTCACAAACGAAATTAATTTACTTAAGTTGTAGAAGTAAATATTTTTAATATGTTCAATACATCAAATCATCAAAGTAATCGGTCAGAAAAGAGATTAGAGAAAATCCCGTGTCATTCTTTTTTTTACAAATAAAGAAATACGAATGAAGGCGCGTTAATACTTATTAATTATTACATTATTATTTATTTTACGGTCATATTCACAAAATATATTTATTTTATCGAGAGGACGATCCAATAGCTACGATAAGATTCGATATTTCACGCTGTAGTGTAATATATGGATCAAAATGACATAGATTAATAATATAACATATATTATTAATCTGATCGGTTTGACTGAATCGTTGGTCAATTGGTCGTTCACGAGATTGTTGATCATTAGGTTCTGGGTTCGAATTCCGGAATCAGTAATTATTGGGTTTTTTCTATCAACAAATACTCAGTAGCAGCTCGGAGTCAGAAAGCTGGGTGTGTATTCACTTCCGTGCCTCGGAAAACACGTAAAGCCGTAGGTCCCGCGCCTCATCTCTCACCTCGGATTACCGTGCCATCGGAATATGAGAGTGAGGTAATAAAGAATACACATTTGCTTGCCTAGTCTCCATTGAGACGGTTGCCATGAACAAAATTTGGTCTTGAAAGACAAAAAACCACTAAACCAACATTATATATGTTGGTTTAGTGCTAAAAACAAAATCAGAAAATATGGCCCACAATGAGTAAAGCTGTGGTTTAGATATTAATAAATTTTATATTTACACTGTAAAAAGTCCAAGTTAATTTGAGACTAATTGCTCCATCATCCAGGCAAGAGCAGAACCATGTCTGTCAGGACGGTCACACTTTGACTAAGCTTATTTCGAAGTTTAATTAACTCTAATCTCTAATCTATCAACAAATCATTTCAAGTAAGTCATCCACAGATCAAGACCCCAGAATTCATTGTTTTGTTATCGACCCAATTTTTACTGAAAATGAAGCATTCCATCTTAGTCGTCAGAGCTGACAATGTATCTTCATTTCGATTCTTAACCGAGAATAGATGTGGGTGTAGTGACCACAGCATCCACTCACCAAGATAACTTAACCTAACACCTGCACTCTCAAAACCTATATTTATGTGTAAAGCATTATCATATTTACAGCGAGCGTTAACCATCTGAGCTACCTCGGCTCGATCCCCGGGTTTTTACTACTACTACTTTACTTTACTTTACATTATCATATCTAAATGTGATGTGATTATCCATCAGCATTATAATCACTACTCTAAATAATCACAAGTCCACTGCTGGGCATAGGCTTCCCCATAGATTGTAGTATGGTCCTGAATTGTCATTTCATCTAGTAGAGGTCATCCACCATGCTTGCTTGTATAAAAGTGTCATTCTACAACCTTTCTTCCCCAGGTTGTCGGTTCTTCATGCTTTATGACCGGCGCATAGCCACTTTGGCATATGATTTTCAACAGGTTACTAATTCTGCATGCAAGCCTACCTCCAATTTTCACACATTCTAAGCAAATTACATTGAAAAATGGTGTGTTAAAAAAAGTAAATTTACAGCCTATATATGTCCCACAGCTGGGCACAGGCCCCCTCACATTTCTGAGAGGGTTTAGGCCAAATAAATATCCGCCGCGCTGCCCCAATGCATGTAGGCAAGGTGCAAATGTCTCAGAAATATGTTTTCCTATTTCAATGTTTCCTCATGTTGTTTTTCTTCACAGCTGAGCATGTGGTAAATCAGCACTCAAAATTGCAATGAACAATTTCATTGGAGACATTTGGGTGGTGCTGTGATATTTACAGCGGGCTCCTGAGCTACCACAATTTACATTAAAAAATTGTGAGTTAGCCCTTAATTAACTTGTATACTGTACTTTATCACCAATCTGACTCTAACCAGACATTAGTATCTTATAGGATTAAGGTTCTGGGTACTAATCAACAAATCTAACATTTTTTCTCCTCTAATCTGCATCTGAGTCTACCTCTGATTCTATCTCATAAAATTATAGCAGGCACTGGTAGCTTAGGATGGATGAGAACTGTTATGTAATCAACTATGCTTGTGATATAAAATGCTATAAAATCTACTACAAAGTAAAGTAAAGCTTCCAGAAGTGTTTCATCAAGAAACACTAACATCAATTTACGTTGAGTTTTTTTTAATACTTAGATATATTATAAACTAGGAAAGAATATAATATTCATAGTTGTATGATTGTGCATAAAATCTCTATTTTCTTACATCCATGCTTGTACAAAAAGTGACAAACAATAACTCCTCCCAAATTTAATAATATTATATATAGTATAACCATGCCGAAGCTAATTATGGTTGTAGCACAATTAGGTCAACTCTACCAGGGAAGAACCATGCTCTCACAGAATATCAGCATCAAATAGCAGCTTAACACTAATGTGTTTTGTATGGTAGGTGTAGAGAATCTGAGACCTTTTCACTGGAAACAAGGCATTCTATTTCAGTCCTCAGGGGTGACAATGCATCTGCATTTTGATTCTTAATTGAGGATAAATGTAGATGTCTATGAGCCACAGCACCTTCTTACCATCAGGTGGACTGTGTGCTCATTTGTCACACTTATTCATTAAAAAAATTATAGTATAATTAGTATAGGTAAAGACTGTACTTAAGTAAATCAATAATGAATATGTCAGTATACAGCTGTAGACTGTACTAAAGACACAAGTCTAAATCAATAATTAATAAGTAAGAATATTACTAAAAATACTTTTTAAAAAAAACATGAAACACACAACAATGACAAATAAAAGATGGGGTTAGAGCAGAATTAATGAGTTCATTTAGAGTGACTTAATAGATTTTTTTTTATTTCTAATGTTAATAAAATAAACTGAAGTAAATTAGCAAAAAGTTTTCGGAAGTATTTTGTTAAAATAATTACACAGCAACTAAAAAGTCAAAAAATATGAATATAAAGCAGCAGCTTATTCATAAATACTGTGAACGAACGGCCTATGTTCAGGCCTCCCCTAAAAAGACTAGAGTAGGCTTCCTGCATGTCTTACCAGGTTACCACTCTATCCAATGGACCCCCCCACTTCACTATTAACTAGTTGTAATGTAAATTCTTACAAGTTTCAATCATGTGCCCTTAAAACAAAATAAAATTCAAAATTTGATAGAAAAAGCAACCATGTTTAAAGCTAAGCTATATCACTATTGTGCAAAAGTAGATTTATATAAAGCTAAAAGGTGTACACCAAAAAGTGTTCAGTAATAATAATAATACTAAATATTCTACTAAATAGTACATAATATAATTAATAATATTATTTAGTATAGTGTTATTTATTCCTACTAAAATACAGATATTTTTATTTGTCTTTCTACTTAAAATTTGTTACTAAAAAATTACATTTATACTTTTATAATAAAGATGAAAGCCTAAAATTAAGTTTAAAAAAATGTGGGTTGCTAAAATCTAAATTAAATGATGTAATACCCTCGGACAGCATAATTTATAGGTTTAATATAAAAATGACTCAACTATAGAATATAATTTAAAAAATAATACAAAGCCAATTTTGCAAACTCATTGCATCTGCTACCCCGCATACCTATTATACCTGGAGTTATCATCATCGTCCTTTCCTTCTGGCTGGGCTTCCTCAGCCTCAGTAGGCTCCGGGGCAGCGGTTTCAGCCGGATCGGTGGGCGGGGCCTCATTTTTTTTAAGACCTGGTATTGGAATGCCTGATCCAAGCCAACCAGTCATCTGGGATTTGACATTAGTGATAAGATCCAGCTTGCTTCCTCCTCTTGTGGGGCTGTAAATAAAATCCGTAATCAATATATTGCATAATTTTTGTAATACTATTATGACCTACTTTGCAGGATAAAGAATTATTAAGGAACTGCAGTAGTGTAAACTAATATCCCCTTGAAATAAAATATTTTGTCAGTGTTAAAAGAGGATAAAGAAAAGTAAGGAAATACGTCTACTATTTTAACATAACACTAAAGCGAATGCTGCCCAGGCACTACTGTTACCTGCAGTTTTATCTGCTACAGTTTGACCTCATTCTTTACACACTGGATCAATACATTATGTAATATAATTACAGTGTGTTAAATAATAGTAATGTTATTAATCCTTTTGTAATAGTAAATTAAATAAAAACCATGAGAAGTACAAATATTGGGTACAAAATTAACTGTGTAATAGATCTATCCATTTTAAAAATTCTTTAACCTTGATTGTAATACAATTTATAATAAAAAGAAGAAAACTAACTAAAATAGATAATTTAATGAACTAAAATTCAAAAATTCCAATTAACTCTAAAATCATAAAAAACGTAAACAAAGACTTGCCTACCTACCCAAGTTTTGCTTACCTTTGTTTTTCGCCTTCCGTTTGTTCTCCGGTTGCGTCCTTGGTTGGGGTAGGCACCTCTTCGTCTTGGGGCTCGCCCTTAGCTGCTCCCATCCAGGAAGAAACCTGATTTGTAAGTCCTGAAAACATTTTCACTTGCACTAGCTAGTCAACTACACGGAACACAAGCACAATCTTACTATGCCGCGGCAGTTTCAGACATGACACGCGCGAGACGTCTGTAAGGCGGCTGCAGAAAGCGTGATCAGCTGAAAAACTAAATGGAACACCGCAATCGACCAGCAGATAGCAAAGAAGTCTTCATTGCGCATGAGAACTTGCGCAGCACGAACTTTTCACGAATTGCAAAATAAAAACAAATGTCAAAGTCCAAACGTCAAAGAATATTGTTCAACGACAAATCGATTCTATTCTATTCATAGAGACTTTGATTATATACCTGTATATAATCAAAGCATAGAGAATTCTATTGTCAAATTTGGCAAATATTTGTTGTTGATTGCAAACCGAGTAATTACATATAAATTATACATACGTATGCATAGAGAGAACCTACAATTCTACATAAATGGACTCAATATACTTGTCTTGTTTTTTCTAATTGAATTTTCAAATAAGTCAAAAAGAGACAATTATATTCAAAGATGTTGCGTATAATGCGTGGAAAAAGAAATGTCAAGTAGTTATCTTTGGTCTCTTCTTACACTACTAAATAAAAAAGTTAATAAGATCGTATTTATTTTGTCCAAGATCGTACCGGCTGAAGAATTCGACAAATATAATAATCTGTTATATAAGTATTCTAAAAATCGTAGGAATCTGCCTATAGCTCCTTGGATCAATGGTTATGTTACCCGATTATATGAAAAAAGGAATTACTTGTTTAAGCTTTGGAAAAATAGCTCTTTTGATCCTAAAATAAGAATAGAATATAATAACACTAGAAATAAACTAATAGAATCAAAAAGGAAATACATACTATCTTAATGAAATACATAATAACTTTAAAGATACAAAAAAGTTTATAAAATCATTAACCAGATGTTAGGACGAGTAACATTATCCATTGACGAGGCGATACTGAAGGCTTTTGACGGACAGGACCTTACCACCGAAGCGATAGCTAGTTCCTCAAGGGTCCCATCTCAGCCCTCTGTTGTTTATTATATTTTTTATTAATGACTTATATAGGTAGTCCAAATCACAAGTGAAAGTTTGCAGATATGCAGATAATGTGAGTTTTCCGTATAGTCAATGATGTTAATGACTGTCTCTTGTTGCAACGTGAGCTTAAAATGTATTAGAATATAGCTTAATGTTTTTGTAACTTTCACAACTAACCCTACGTTTACACCAAAAAACATTCAACACTTAATATTTTGAAACAAATTGCATAAAATAAATCACACAACATGTTTTGTTGATGTTCGCGTTCCCACTCACCACAACTTACTTCGTAAAATGTTCAACAGATATTAAGATTTGTTGTTATCTGTGTTCAAATTGAATATAACATAGACATTCTAATTGTTCATCTATAGATCTGTTAGCGTTAACATTCACACTGTTGTTTTTCATATTTAGCGATTTGTTTTAAATCGTGTTTTCTTTCTTATTCAATTTATTTCAATTTAGATTACTTAATATAAAATTAAAATAAATGTGGTATATTTCCACTGACTCCATCTGTAGTTAGATAACCTGCAATTATTTCGTGTGGCGGGAAAATTTAGTCCTTCTTTTTGGGATATTTTTTGGGTTGCCTGTCCCAGAACTCGATATAAAAGAACATAATGAAATACAAATTTCTATTTATTTATTCTTTTAAAATTAAAATACATGACTTCAAAAAGAACTTTACAAAACTGTTTACCAAAAATGTAGTTTGTCACTGTCATCTTCATAATGTGTTAAGTGACAAGAAATTATAAGTATATTATCACTATAAAAAATATAATTATATCTATGAGAAAGAAATATGATAGCATATACCACCTTTCTCTCATACTTTTACAAAGCTTACCAAAGCTTAGGCTTATTCCAATAAGCTGTGTTTCCTTGTAAAGCTATACAGGGTTATTTTGTGATAACTGGCCAAATTTGCAGAGAAGGTTCAAAATAAGTAACATAGGCAAAGGGTGAATGAATAAATTTAAAATAAAAATTCAAAATGTGTGCCCTTTTTATCTTTTAAATTCAAAATGCGTGGTAATGCATTATTTTAAGTAATTCTATTGCACACGCACATATTCGTAAAGCGCTTATTACATTATACAATTTTTAGAAAATCTAATTAGGAACCTAAATTGGAAGCTATTGATCACATTACACTAAATTGAATTCTAAATCGTGACGAAGCGCATTCGTAAAGAAGTATCGACGGGGTTGCACGTTTGATCGATGGCGCCGTATTTATCAAAACAGCAGAAAATAGGACTTGCCTTAGTTGTGGTGGGAACAATGTATATTAAAAAAAGAGAAAAGAGTAATTGTCATTGAGAAAAAAAGTATTCAATATGAATATAATTATGTATTTTTAGATTCTAAGCAGTTTTTTTATAGGATAGGGTGACAAACTAGCACACAGTCCACCTGATGGTAAGTGGTTTCTGCGGCCCAAGGACATCTACATCTATCTCCAATTACAAATCAAAATGCAGATGCGTTGTCACCTGTGACGACTAAGATGGAATGCCTCGTTTCCAGTAAAAAGTGTCTCCGGTTCTCTACACTCGCCATACGAAACACAGCAACATTAAGCTACTATTTTACGCTGGTATTCTGTGAGAGCGTGGTGGTCCTTTCTCGGTCGAGCCGACCCATTCGTACTACAACTATACTACTAATATAACTGCAGCATGGCTCTACCACCTATAAAACAGTTTGATTATTTGTTAAGTTTGGTATCCAAACATATTGAAAAAGAAGTCACGATATTTCAATAAAGTGTGAGTGCCAAAGAATGTTTGATGGTGACAGAACATTATTACTCCTAGCATCCACTTGTATCAAAGCGCGGGCGCCGACTGGTTGTTCTAAATCGTAACGTTGCGATTACACTGTCCTAAATTGTAAACAATTTAGGAAGTAGAGCGGTCGGGACCTCCAATTTGACTAAATCGGATCCTAACTGTTCTAACTACGATTACACCTTCATACTTCCTAATTAGATTTTCTAAAAATTGTATAATGTAATAAGCGCTTAAGGGTCGTACGGTAGATAAAAATATTGTTGCCCATAAATCGGATTCAATTTGGGATAATTTTACATAAAAGTAGAAGCCTTATTTACTCGTATTTTTGAAAACTGCAATGACGTTATATCATTATTTATGTATTTGAGCTTAAATTTAAAATTTGGCTATCCTAATCCTTACCCAAAAATAACCTTAATGTACATAATGGCAAAAATATTTATCATTTTATTGATCCGGATCCAAAGGGTATTAACAGGATCGTAATACTAAGCCAAAAATGTCTATCTTACAGGCTTAGTATTACAGTCCGGAAGGAATGTGACCGCTATGCATCCGATATCACCGCCGCGACTATTATTGTATTCTGGCCGCCTAATAGCAGGTGGTTCTAAGGTACGGAAACACATTCTGAAGTGCATAATACTAGAACACAACTGACGGGAGACAAAATCTCTCCAGCAAACTTAGTTACGTCTATAAAGTCATTTCAGAGTACATCGGCAATACTGGCGAGAAGCTAGTTCGCCTTCCTCCAGGGATGCACGGAGCAGTCTAGCCTTATGCTAGGGCTGTCCAAGGTAGTTTCTATCAGCCATCTCTTCCATCTCTGCACAGAGAGGATGACTCACTGATCCATGCCGCAAAGGCGAAAGCCCATCTGTTAGGCTCTCTCTTTGCCTCCAACTCGACTATCGATGACGGAAGGAAAACACCGCCGACCATCCCGCGGTATGTTGCTCTATGCCAGAAGTGCGGCTTACACAGCGCTCAGTTTGCAAAGCACTCCTCTCCCTGGATGTCAACAAGTTGAGTGGGCCTGATGGATTCACTTCCATTGTGCTGTAGCCATGTGCTCCGGAGTTGATAACGGTTTTAGCGTGTCTTTTCCTGTACTTCTACTCCCAAGACGTATTCCCGAATTTTTGGAAGACAGCTTTGGCCCATCCGAGCCATAAAAAAGGCAACCGCTCAAACCCTTCCAACTACAGACCTATCGCCATCACTAATTTGTTCTGCAAAATAACTTAGTCGATTATTAACAGCCAGCTCATGCCATGCCTTGAGAAGCATCAGTTGATTAGTGACTGCCAGTACGGTTTCCTTCGGGGTCGCAAAGTTGGTGATCTTCATGTTTATCTACCACACCGATGGGCGCAGGCGATCGAGTCCATGGTGAGGGCTTTGGCGGTTAGTTTGAACATGCTCTGATTACAAGCCTATTAATGCTGATGTTCCATACGGGTGCGTGCTTTCACCAACGCTGTTCCTTCTGCAGGTCAATGATATGTTGCAAACTGGTAACATTCATTGCTATTCGGTATGCGGACGATAGCACTGGTGATGCTTTATACACCTGCCGTGCCAATATTTCTCGGGAAAACGTCACCGAGTACCGGAACAAACTTGCGTCTGAAGTCGACGCTTTTCTGAACAAAGTCTTCTTGCTTCTTGCTTGGGGTGACTAAATCTAGATCAGTTCAATCCCCAGAAGACACAAGTTTGCGCGTTTAACAATAAAAGAATCCCTTTGTCGTAACTCCTCAGTTTCAAGGCACTCCCTTTGCTGCCTCAGCTAGCATCGGAATCCTCGGCGTCGACATATCGAATAGTGTGCAGTTTCGTGGTTATTTGAAAGGGAAGGCCAAATTGACCTCTAAAAATCTTGGCATGCTCAGCAGAGCGTAACAGTGTTTCATATCGGAAATTATGTTTCGAGGAAATAGCGAACAAAATTTTGTAGGTATCCTCTCTTTTGCCATTTCTTAAAGGTTATAAAACGATAATAGGTAGACCCATCGGTAGAAGATGAATGTTCTATACTGTATTAAAAAAAGACTTTTAAAAATTTGGAGTTTATCAGCGTAAAGCGAAACCGAGCAGACCAGCTGGCAAAAGCTGCACTTGTTTACAAGTATAACGCATGTAACAGCC